TGATTGCCAGATTGGATCTTCATTTGACAAATAAATACTAGAGCTGCAGAAAGTAAAGTTTACTCCAACCCAATTAATCAGTAATTCATCCACAGGAAAAATACATTTTCTCCCCATGGAATATTGATTTTTCTACGAATATTACCTCCACATTGAAAAACGAGTGAGTCACTGCAGTTAAGCCAGTGTACCCTGACGATGAATTCCCTGAAGAAGGTACAGTTATATTTACATTCCCTTAGCAAGAATTTGGTTAAGTGATAAGCATTTTTCTCTTTTTTTCTTTCTTTTTTTTTTTTGAGACCATGTCTTTGTCACCCAGGCTGGAGTACAGTAGTGCAGTCTCAGCTCACTGCAACCTCTGCCTCCCAGGTTCACGCAATTCTCGTGCCTCAGCCTCCCAAATAGCTGGGATTACAGGAACGTGCCACCACTCCTGGCTAATTTTTGTATTTTTTGTTAAGTAAAGATGAGCTTTCAACATATTGGCCAGACTGGTCTTGAACTCCTGACCTCTTATGAGCGAATCATACCACTTATAACTAGATTTTCTATTAATGTATAAGGAGGGACTCTACTACTAAAGTTTGTTTTACTTCTCTGGTTATTTACACAGAACGCTGGCAATACATTAAGGCTCACTAATGTGGACCTAAGTGGAATTTCTGAGAGGCTTTGAATATGTATGTGCAAACTGTCCTATTTTCTTCATATGCTCTCTTAAATATGTATGTATGTAAATATATATATGACACATATATATATTCCTAGACATCTAGGGTTTGCTGTCATTAGTGACCAAGAAAAAGTAGTTCTTTTGTGCACATGTGAAAACATCAAATTAGCAATTACCATAGAAATGTATTTCATTGAATAACTAGGTTTTATTTGTTTGTCTGTTTCAGGGAAATGTAGAACAATTATTAGATGTTATTGTGCCTCTTCTTGTGTTGATATGTGTATTTGGGTCAAAAGTGCAAAAACTTTTTTCTACAATATACAGTTATTTTGGCTTTTCCCAGGGGAAGCTAGCAATAGTTTTAAAAGCACAAATTGATGTAAAATATTTTGACTCTTAAAATAACGTGAAGAAATTTTATTTGCATTAACCAAAAATATTCAGGATCTTTTTGTAGTAAGTATATTTTAAATGGTGTAATTTGTATGTTTATGATATGTGTTCAATTATTTAAGTTAGGTATCAATGCATTTTTTAAAATATGGGCTCCCAGGTGAACAAAATTTTGCTTTTCTTCTCCATTCTGTACAGGACAAGCATTATTTAGTTCACACAGTCAGCTCTCACT